TAAGTGGGAGCAGGAGTGAAGAGGGAGCCTGAGTTCTGTCCACTTGTCCTTCTCCTCACCCTCTGAAGTGGTCCCCTGAGTACTCCCCACAGACCCCTGGTAGTTTTTCAAACTACCAGGTTTGAAAAACACTGGACTTGATGACCACTGATGTCCCTTCTGATAGAGGATCCTAAGACTCTGTGAAGGGAGTTGGACCAGCACCCCCTGAGCATGTTGGGACTTCCATAGCAGTGCCCCAAATTGCCCATGTGGAAGATGCCCTTACACAAAGCCTGGATTAAGCTGTGTTTCATCTCATCCATATTCCCATCTGTCAATTAGGAATGGTTATGAATACGTTTCTATTGCACTGGATGGTGAGAATAAAAGTAAAAGAGACTAAATATAAGACACATCTAACACAGTGGCTGATCTATAGATTGTGCTGGATAAATGGTCTCTTCTGTAATTTTATTATTCTTTTCTAGCTTTTGTTCAAAATAAGATTCTTTATTAATAAATTTCTAAAATAAGAAATTTATTCATATACTGTATGAATAAATTTCTTTGACACACTCATCTATTGCTCTTCAGAAATAACTTATACTTCTTAAAAGTTATGAGTTACTCATACATTAATGTCTTTATTCACTCAGTGAACGTCTATTGACTTCCTACTCTGTGCCAGGCTCTGTGCTTGTCACATGGTGTAGAAAGACCCTCAAGGAGTTCAGTCTCCAGTGGAGGAGATAGACAAGTGAACAGAGAATAACAATATATGGCGATAAGAGCTGTAACAGAGGGAAGCACTAGCTCTGTACATTTCTGAAGCGCACTTTTTTGAGAGTGGGGAGTAGAGTCAAGTAAGACTCACCAGAGTGAGATGACTAAATCTTGAAGAACGCATTGAATGGAGCCTGGCAACGTAGGTGAAGAAGCATCTACCAGGCAGAAAATATAGCCTGCACAAATGCAGAGACCCATGATGAGCGGTAGAAGTGTGTGGGAGGGGTGACAAGGACCCATGGGAGAGTGACTGCAAGTTGTTCAGTAAGATGGGGAGGGGCAGGGGTCATGGGGAGATAGAAATAAGCTTAATGTGAAGGCAGGGCCCAGATCTCTTTTATAAAATATTATGAAGGCTGAATGTTACACTAAAGTCATGGGAGTCTTTGAAGAATCTACGCTGCATCATGGCCATAGCATACAAGATGCATTAGAGACAGGGGCAGGGCCTTGGCCAGCACCCTAGTCGAGGCAGCTTTCCTTGGATTAGAAAAAGGAGATCCTCTGAAGGGACACAGCTCTGAGCCAGGAGGCAAGGCTCCAGGGTGGAGAATGGTTTTGATTTCTGCCTTTACTCAGCCCCTCAGCCAGGTAAGTGCCTTTGTGTAGTGTACAAATTGCACAGCTGCAAAGAAGTACCCCTAGACAGAAGAACAAGTTAAGAGATTTTTGCCGGAACAATGGCAGAGGCCATAAAACAAAAAGAAAGCTGTAAGTATAAGAGGTGTTAGAAGAGAGAACAATGAAGACTTGGTTATGAATTGAGATAGAAGGAGGGATCATAGGTGTCTCCCAGGTATTGGGCTTGATTGGGTAGGTAGTGGTCCCAGTCACCATGGTAAAAAAAAAATCCAGAAAGAGTACCAGCTTTGGGTAAAAACTAATAAACTCTATTTTGAGTAGGACAACCTTATGATTCCCTGGGATACCCAGGTGGAAATGTTCAGTAGAATGACTGTTGTATATTTCATTTGAAGTACAGGTAAGACACATTTCCTAGTAATATAAGTGTGGGAGTTATCAATATGCAAAAAAGAGCTGAAGCTGTGGTAGTTAAGATCACACGGGCAATGGGTAGAATAGAAAGTGTGAGGATTTATCAAATAATTCATTTAAATAATTTTATTCCTTTGTTGACAGCATCTGCAGTGAATCATGGATAGAACAATGACCAACTACGCTTTTTTCTTTTTCTTTTCTTTTTTTTCTTTCTTCTCTTTGTCCAGAGCAGTGGTATTTTCCATTTGAGAACCTGATCTTAAGTTTACTTATAGACGAACAATTGATTTTTTCCCTTCAAACACTGTTTAAACATTAGCTATGAGGGTGCAGAGAACCAAACACTCATAAATAGTCTCTGGGAATGTGCCTTTGTCTTGTAAAATCTGATCTGTAATTGTGTTAATATGAACCTGATGACTTTCTCATTAGGCATCTTAGGAGATGTGTGTCAAGCTTAAATCTGAGTTGCTACTGAAAACAAGGAAGCTGAAGTGCTAATTGGATAAAAGAAGCTAAGCATGACCACGAATTGCAGAATTTCCAGAAAAAAATGGTGTTTCAATAACAACTGCATCTTTCTATCGCCGCCAATTAAAACAAATGCAAGAAGGCAGCTAAGCTCGCGAATGAAACATTCTCTGAACTCCCAGCTTGATGTGATGCTGTCTCTTGCAGCTGTGCACTAATACGGAACTGCTGAACAGAGCCACATTCCAAAGACAGTAAAGAAAGACCTGTTCTAAAAATGAAGCTGTAATCGTAAGGAAATAAACCCTTAACCTTCTTTCATCATTTATTCATTCAATCTACAACTATTTACTGAATGTATTTTATGTGGCAGTTACCCTTAATTTGAAGAAGCCCTGTATGCTGCCTCACTATATCTTTCATTATGCTGGCCATTGAATTTGCCTTCATAATTTTCTATGTCATAACTCTCAGTAAAAGTGCCTCCTATATGTTTTCCAAGATAGTTTCTTTTAAAGAGTACTGGCTTTTCAGGTATTTTTCTAGTATAAGGGAAAAGTATCACCAATTCATATGTAATAAGCTCACCATCTTATGAGGAAAATAAACCCAGCTCTCATGTCTGGATAGCTGATGAGAAACAGCTTTTTCTCTTTTGTATATCTAGGGAAATAATTACTGAATCTAAAGAATGGGAAGAATAAAGGTAAGAGTAATATCAGCTGTGTTGTGACCACTCATTCTTTTGGCGTGGTTATGATGTCATCTCAGTTCAAATACAGTAGGAAGAAGTCACTGGAGTGGGAAAGAAATGACCCAACCCTAGAAAATGAAGTGGCCTCTGTCCTTGCCAGCTGACATGTAGAAATATCATTTAAAAAACCACAATGTGTCACATATTCATAGATTAATAGAGAGTTTGTGTTTCTCAGAAAGCAGTTCTCTCAAAATACCGACTCAGTGTGAATAAATATCCTTCAGGCTAACTAGATCAAATGGCTGAGCACAGGGAGGAAAGCTTAAAGCTCTAGTGTGAGGAGACATTGCCAAGTGCACATGTATCAGAAAGGAATATGAAGGGACTCAAAAACGGCATCTCGGTTCAGGGGAAATGACTTAGTTGTACAAGGTAAGTTTTACAAAAGGTTCAGGAAAGCATCTATTGCATGAATGACCTAATATCTAGCATAATTTTTTTAGTCTAGGTAAAATACCAGATCATCTTTTCAAATTCATGCTATGCATGTAATTTGCTAACTAGTAGTATATTTTAGATTTTCAAATTCTAAATTCTGTTCCATTAGGAGATGAAACCATGAAAGAAGTTATCATTAACTACCCAAGTGTTTCTCCTTCATTGGAGCTAGTTTGTCTCTCAGGAATGTGTGGGTGGAGGGTTTTGCACATGAATAGATCTGAGACAGATGGACACAGGTAAGAAAGAAGGTTCTGACTGCTTTTTAAGTAGATAGGTCTTTGGCAGGGTGGAGATGCAGAGTGACCTGGACAAAGCAGTTTTGGAGCAGTGATTCCTCCAAATTTATTCAGTTCATTGTTGAGTCTGTTTGTCAGGCATTATTTGTCACCTGACCTCTGTCTTTACAACTCTCTACCAGGCACTAATTTTGAACAGGGGGACACCAAACAGTCAAGGCTCAGATGGCTAACGATGTGCATAGATTCTTCTTGATCCGCAGGGGTTGAATTTGTGTAATGGTTAACTGGTCTTGTTTTAAATAATTTCCTTGGAGACTCATAAAAATACTTTCTTATAGAAGAAATTCTTGCCCAGATTGGTCCTCCCTTTTTCTCTCATTGAGTCAAAGCAGCTTGGCTACTAAGACAGAAGTAATTTCTTATTTAAATTTTTTTTTGACTTCCTCTGATAAATCTGGTTATTTTCTTTATAAAATCCTGTTTGAGCTCTTCTGTATCTTCCCTTGGCCTCATTCATTGGTCCTAAAGCTGATGTTCTTTTTTGCTCTTGACCTACTAATGCAGTATATAATTGGCCCATGTGTCTTTGTTCTTATGGCACACATGCAATAATATACATTTAAAGGGCTTACACTAAAAGAATAGACAATTTCTTTTGAAGGTTTCTTTAGAGTTGTTTATTACGGAGCTGTCCAGATGTAAGAAAATGGCCTAAAAACTATTAATGGCCAAATTTAGTCCTTGGCATTTCTAATTTTAAGCAGAAATTTTTGTAACTTCTTGAGTGAGTTAAGTGTGCTCATTTCAGCACAGTGAACAGCTTTACACATGATCAGATCTAGTATTAAGAGATGATACTGAAATGGCGACTTTTCTTTCATCCATCCCATCATTCATAGAACATTTACTGAAGATGTTAAAAGGCTTAGCATACAGAGGTGAGTAAGACACAGCCAGCCCCCTACCTTGTAGAGGAAACAGATATATCAACTAATAATTGCCATCGGTTTGAGAAGCACAACAATGGTGTATACATCAAGCAAAGTGGTACACCCCAGGAGGGAGTGATAAACTCAGCCTGAGGAATGAGAAGAGACTTGACTGAACCTTCCCAAGCAGAATTACTTCCTGCTGTCTCCTGATTTTTATGGTACCCGAGTGACAAATGTGCAACAGAGAAGAATCACTTTTCAAACCAATCTCTCAAGTACCACAATATAACACTGTGTTCTGGAAAGTAGGACAGCTTGTCATCACTCCTCCAGTCATATAGCTGGCTGCAACTAAAGAGGAAAAACTGCTTATGGCAAACACACATTGTGTACCTTTGCTGAAGAATGGATGTGACCTGCTTGCAGAAATTCTCTCCATTTTGAGAAAACTCCTTTAGGTTCTTGTACATTTGATTATACTGAAAAAGAAAAGAGGCACAGAAGGATTATGAACACTTCCAAAGATAGAGCTTCCACAAATTCAAGATGCTGCTGCAATGCTGACTGTCGTCGTAAATGATCGTGCAGCTATGGGATGCATACCTTTCGGATGAGTTCTTAAAATAAAGATCAAGTCTCTTCTGCCTGGGTATGAAAGATCTTGGAGAACTTTTCAAAAATGAAGCTTGTCTTTCTGTTTCTCCCCTAGGCCAAATGCAAATAATTTAGCAGTTAGGGGCACTTGAAGCCTGGCTTCCTGTTGCTCCTATTGTTCACAGGAAGGTTAAAAGTACATTCTGAAATATACTGAGGAATCAATCATTTTGTGTCTCTCTCGTAAACTCCAGAATAATATTCCTAGGCCTCATGACAAACCCTAAAGCGTTAAAGTGTATTTCTTGGCTGAGATAATAAAAATGTTAGTGAATACTTGCTAATAAAATTCGTCCTAGTCTCCTCTACATCTCATTTAAGTCTAATAATAAGAATGTTATAATGAGTTGAATATTTTGATTGAACCAAACCTTTCTAAATTTATAAACAAACTTTTAATAAATTATTTATGTTTGAATTTAGCCCACAGATACCAGAATTCCAAAAGAAAGTTTTTGTCATTTGATTTAGAACTCCACAATGTCATGAGAATAAAACCACTATGTGGCAACCAAGCTGCCTCATTTTTATTTCCATAAAAACAACTTGTCATCTATGAATAGTATGATACTATAAAGCTTCCTTCCTTCCCTTACGGATGCAATAGTGAAGTTTTAGTAAGCATTTTTAAATTGTTTAGTTTTTTGTTTAATTCTCTGTTAACTAAACATTTTCACTAAATCCCACCAAGCCTTTCATTTTCTTTCTGTAACACCAAATAACATCCCACAAAACACACCTAGGTATCATGAGAAGGAAATAGATAAATGTATATCAGGGTACCTGACTCTGGAATAAAGTTTTTCAGCCTCTCTCACCCTGACATGTAACCATGTGACTAATACCTCCCAAGGAGGCATGGATGAAAGTTTTGTGTTCGGGACCAGTGAAGGTTTCTTCCTCCTCTTTCCTAATACCTGAACTTAGAAATGATGACTGATGCCAGAAAATGCTCTTTAGGGTAGACACCATGAGCCAAGATCATAGAGCAGAAAGAGAAAAAAAGCCTGGATCTCTGCTGGCCCTGGAGGCCACCACACAAGCCCTCAACTCTCTACTTGTAGGCTTATTTTAGATGTGAGAGAAATGCAACAATAGGGATTTTTTTAAAAGCCACTCATTTTAAGTTCTTAAAATATGCAGCTGCACATAGTTCTAAGTCATATATAGTCTTAAAACTTTTTAAATTATTAAACATTTTTATATTTTATAAAATAATAATGATACAGAAAATAATAATGATACTCACTATGTACTCACTACCTAAATTATAGAGATAAAACACTTTGCTTGTGCCCTCGCTTTAGAGAACTATTTTTTTCCTTTCATAATTTCTTTGGCTGTACTTGGACATTTTTCTTCCATATGAGCATATTTAATTACAATTTTAAAAATTCCCTGTTGGGATTCTAATAAGAGTTGCAATGCATATATATATCATTTGGGGAAAATTGACTTTTTGAGGGTATTTAGACTTTCCATCTAAGGACATAGTAAGTCTTTTCATTCGTTCAAATCTTATTTTATGTCCAATTTTTTTATTTTCTTATTTTCTAAAAATTTTTTTATTTTCTTTATAGGTCCTATAACTTTCTTATTCGATTTATTTAGAAATAGCTCACAGTGTTAAGTTGTGTATTTTTTTAAATGTAATGTCCTATCTGCTTCTCTGTCCAGCCCGCAGCAAAATAGAAACGAACACATCCCTGCCCGCCTTCCCCCCGCTCCGCCCCCCAAATACCAGGTGGGCATGCACAAGAGAGAAGGATTTGGATGCATGCTTGTAGATTGAATTTTTCTGCTCTCCAACACTCTGGGCCAGGTGTGGGAGAATACAAAGCAAAGAGATAGATTGGAGGGATGGGAGCATGCAGAGCAGGAGTGAGAAGAACCTCCTATCTAAAGAACTAAGAGCTAGGGGAGGGATCTGAGATGAGTTGTCCCAGGGGATGGCCCCCACCAGCCCCCCATCACTTGAAGACAGTCTGCATCCTACAGTCCTGGGGCCAGAATACCGGACTCAGGTATCACTTGTGAGGATGCGGGCCTGTGGGGAAACCTTGCCTCTAACCAAAGTGGAAATGAACAGAACCCGTTGAGAATTTTTCTGTGCTAGGCTGCATTTCTCATACTTATCAAGCCATCAAAACTCTCCAAGACACATTTATAAACAAAAATAACTATCTCCAAGGGACTAGTTCTAGGAGACCAGACAGCCCTGAAAGTTTATAAACCAGTGATTTAAAACTCAATTGCCTTTCAGGGGGAGTGGGAGAGCCTGTGGCAAAGGGGAGAAAGCCGTCTTCTCTGAAGGCATTCAAATTCAAAGGAAGAGTCTGCTCAAACAAAGCGCTCCACTTGACCCTGAGCTGCCAGTTTTAGATTTTAGAAGATAATTTCCCATTATTTAATAGACTAGTACTTCTCAAGTTTTCTCACATCATGGCACACCTACGAAATAATATTTATACCGGGGCAGTGTTGCAAATGGACAAAATCGTTCCAAGCAGAGGGAACTGACCTATGAGTTCTGTTCTTCAGCCATACCCTGCCCATTCCAGGGCTGAGGGGAGTTGTCTCAGATACTCCTAATCAATTCTTCAAATTCCAGTGTGCACAGGCACATAAGAGTCAGGAAGCTCGTCAATATATCACACTGTTAATTTAATAATCAGATAAGAGCAGGATGAACTGCTTATATCAATAGAGAGGATCTTTACTGGACTCACCAACAAACCCTGATAATTGATGCCATACTAAGATAAAGGTGGCATCAATAAATAAAGGAGTAGCTAAGAATACTCTATTATTTCAGCATAACCCCTTCTTTAGAAACAATGATTTTGTCCTTTTCATCATGTATCATCTACTCAGAGTTGAAGACAAAAGCTGTGTAAAGCAGACTTGCATAAATATTGAAGCAGAACCCAGAGACTGTCTTGTCCAGTATGCGTATGTATATGGGTGTGATCGGAAAATCTTGGAACGTATCTGCTTCGAGGGGATGAAATCTCTTGGCCTCGGCTTTGACTCTCCTCCTATCCCACCTCCCTTCCCACCCAACTTTCATCCACCTGAGAGGCCTCTGATGAAATTCAGTGGAGCATAGTTTGGAAACCACTGAAGTACAATCCCCCTGTTTACAATGAAGACCCAAAGAGAACCTCATAGTTAGACAGAAAGGTGACTAAAAATGTTAGGTGAGCAAATCAATTAGAGAACCTATCAGAAATAAATATATTATAAATGGCTATTCAGTATAATTAAAGTCAGTTTACTCAGAATGATAGTTACCTTTAAGTGTTATAAGCAGTACAGATGGCTTCTTAATGTCATTGAACTGCACAAGAAGGGTTTATTCAAAGTTATATCATAGGTAAAATTTTTGGTTTTCTTTTTCCACCATTGAGCTGTTGAATATCCCACCCCTACCAAATATTCCAAAAAGAACCTACTATTGATCTTACATCTCCATATGAATTTATATTAGCATGTTGCTTCTCCCTGGGGTCATTAATTACCAGGAAAAAACATTATGAGGTTTTTTTTCCCCCCTGATAAATGATTTCAGGCTAGTGGTGGAATATTTGGGATCTTTCTGAGCCCCTAAAAAAAAAAAATCCTTTCACATGGACAACTGGTATCCACAGATTTTTCTCATTCAGCCATTAGAAAAATGTTTCTGCCCAGTACTTGAAAGAAAATTCTGTAGTAAAAATATTGTCATTACAAACAAAAAAAACAAAAAAAAAACCCAGTAATCTAGACAACTGACACATGAAATGATTAGACAGGTGACTTATAAACAATATAAAATGCACTATGTGAAACTTGGCCTAGCTACTCTTTCTGGTTTTCCACAATTTGAATGATTAAGGAGATTAAATTTAGCTATTCTAGGAAAATCTATTTTTATTCTAGGTGCGAATATGAGAAGATTTTTTTTTTTTTGATAATAATGATTCTCATAATGTTAAATAAACAATGACATTCCACTTAAATTTAATTATATAAGCTTTTGCTGGATGCCTTTCACATGCCAGGCACTGTGCTATGAATTTCCTGCGAAATAATATTTCGGAGCACTATTGCTCTAACTAAAAGATTATTTATGTTCATTAAGCATCTGTGTAATGTTTGGGATCCCATGGCAGGCTGTCGTAGATTATGAGATATAGAATATTAAAGAACAAGTCTACTTTATCCTCTCCTCTTGTTACTTTACAAGTGAGGAAACAGAAGCCCAGGAAATGTGCAGTGGCATGTCACACATGTCACTGATGCACACCAGGAATGCTGCGAGCCACAGAACATCCACGCCAGGCCCAGCCTGTCTCCTTATCTCTGCAGTACCAGAATCCCTCAGGAGGTGTGAAACCTTGCACCAGCATCTTTTGTAAATTCATGCAATCCACCGATTTCCATGCATGGATCCACAGGAGTAGACCAGGTTAAGAACTGTAGCTAAGCTAAGGCTTTATGAATTAATTGTGTTCTGTGTAACCCTAGGGACTCATGAAATGGGACATTTTGCAGGTGGTTTAAACTTTGGTTTCCTTTATAAAACTAACGAAGTGTTTCATGAAACATTTGTTTAACGTCCACTCCCTTGTTTTATTTTGTTCCCAAACTGCAGCCTCCTCTTCACATAGCATTGTTCTCCCAGCACGAACTAGGACTGCAGCAGGAAATCCAGTTGAACACTTGATGAAGATGAAAACAATTGCAAATGAGTAAAAGTTCTCCAACTTGAGGGGTTTAGAAACCTGGCTGACGGGATATCTGCCTCCTCCTGACTCTGAGACTGCCTTTGGTGGCTCTGGGCCCGTATAGATGGCCTTCCAGGTTGTGAACAAGGGTAGGAGTCCTTGAGGGTGATGGTTTGGCATAGGGAAAAGAACACTTCAACATGTCACGGAAGGAGCATTAAAATGACACACAAATGTGGTTGCCTTGGGGCTGCTCTAAAGAAAATATTTCTCCCAGCTCCTGATCTGAAGGCAAACTTGGAAAAGGATGTTAGGTTTTCAGTTCATTTTTTAAAACACTTAATTGGGCCTACATTGTCCTCTCTTCTGTCTCACCCTTCCCTTGGTCTTGATTGTCTTTGGTGACTGTTGGTGCCAGTTTTTGCCTGCACTTATTTTGTCTCTGTCCCACTCAACCACCAAAATATCAAATGGTTGACATTGAGGAAGAAGTTAAAATTTTAGAAGGGAGAAAATGCAAGGGGTGAAAAATAAACAAACAGCAAATCAACAAATGATAAAATACTTTTTAAAAAAAAGTTGTCTGTGCTTGCCAATAGAGAGAAGATTGGCTGGAGGGAATTAAAGTGGGAAGAGTTTCTTTCTTAAAATCTCTATATAACCATATTGTTGAAAATTTTTTTTTTACATTAGACACTTTTATTTAATTTTTTGTATTTAAAAAGTAAAAGTAGGCAGAACCTCCTACTGTGTTGTCATTATCATTACTAACCATTATGACTTCATCTTATTTATTTCAACTGATTCATGAATTTATTTGGTAGAATAGCAGTTACAGGTCTTTTCTAACTAAGCTTGTGCTCTTCGCATCTATTGAAATTTTTCTTTATGGTTTTATTGCTATCTCCATTTATCTGCTTTTCCATTGTTTTTTTTTTTTTTAAATAAAATATTTGAAAGATATTTGCTTCTGTTGTCACCTATTTTAGCTTCTTGGCACCATTTATTAGGAAAACACACTGACAGTTTTTGATTACTATATTTTCAAAGTAAATACATCCCCCTTCCCTTTATTTTAATTGCTCCTCATTTCCTAAATTACATCTCTGCAATTGCTGCTAACAACATCTTTGGACTTGACCCATCTTCTATTTTTAGTAACATTCCCAGGACTGAAAGAACATGTCTGCCGACTGAAAACTAGCGCAGGCCAGATTGCCTGGGGCATCTGTCCATCCTTGTCTCTCTCCCCGCAACCCCCCTTTAAGACTTGGCAATTCTTTTTGTTGTTATTCTTAGCATTCTATTTATTTATTTATTTAATTATTGTGACATTGCTTTTTTTTATGGTGACATTGGGCAATTCTTGACTCTAAATGACATGGGAAAATACTCAAAAATCTTCTGCCCTAACTTCATTCTCAGAGCCCAAAATAGGCTACAGACACTCTGCATTTGTGTGTCCACTCCACACACGATGTTTGTTGGCACCATTGGTGTAGGTCTTAAGAATGTTTTCCAAACAACCACTATCTGCATGCGAATATAATTCTATATCCACGCTAAGTTTTTTTTTAAATAATGTGAGAATAAACGATGACAACGTCCGTCCTGTCATATGCTAGAAAGAGCTCAGTTTTAAACTGAACCAAAGAAAAACCACAGACTTTCGTCCCACAGCTGATATCTAAACATGTTCGGTTTCTGAGCATCTCAAATTTCTTAAGTTAAAACAATTAATATATAAATCTACCCCTCCGCCTCCTTCTCACAAACAAAGAAGCAAACCACACCGAGCTACTCACCGAACAGCTTGTGAGTGGGTCCCTCATGCTGAAATGTTTTTGCTTCTGTCCTCTTACCTATGCTCCAGAATTCAGCATGTAGTACTCGGGACACTGCCGTCAAGGCTGGGTGTGTCCTGGACTTCCCGGATTCAAAAAGCATAAAGTACGTCAGCCCTTGTCAAACACCCTGAGGAGGATGTCCCAGCCCTGGACTTTCATCTCGTTCATTTCCTGAAAAAAGCAAAGAACTGCTCCGGGTCAAGAGAGCGGGTGTGAGATGGTGAGAATGACTTCTGAAAATACTTAGAGGGCATAAAACTGAGTCCTGAACTGCTTGGCCTTGACAGAAAGCCCAGAAGCTGTAAAAAGTGTCGGGATTATTTGAGTGCTGTCAGGGCTGATGTGGAAGGGATGCATTTTCTCTTAGCAATCTGTATTAATCACTTTTGGTTTTTTTGTATTAATGATGCTTTGATAAATGGAGGCCTTTTGAGTGGGGGAGGGACTGCTCCTCCCGGGGTCAGCTAATTCCTAGAGATAGCAAACAACTTGCCTGTGAGCACATTTTTGATGTGTAAACCAACCAATCCAGAGTCCAGACCCACCCTTCTTTTATCTAAAGCTCACACACCAAGTTAATATTCTCTTTGCCTTAAATTACCCAAGGGCCAAGTACCAAACAAATAGAACCACACTTATATAACTATGACTATAGTGGAAAATGTCTAAGAAAAGCTATCAGGGAGCAGGGTACACATTTACTACCTCTGGGGGAGGGAGGCAGCTGACTCAACCTAACTTTCACTCTTAGCCCAGCAGGACCAAGAGGCTAAACTATCAAATTAAGAAGGATCTTTCCATGTTTACCCTCATTTTTTTTTTCCCAGATCACTGAAAAGGATAAGCAGAACTAGAAACTGGCCATCAGCAACTTACTTTTTTTTATTGCTTTTTCTGCATCCGTGATCCCAGTTATTAATTCTTAAATTTGCATCTAATGCTTGTTGTCTTGTGACAGCCATTTGCTGAGTGTGGGCAACTTTGCTCTGACTGGCGGTCCCCAGATCCAAAAGAAGCTCCGTTAGCGGAGCCCAGTGGGAAACTTCAGAGTTGCCCTGGTGGGCAAGCTCCATTCATCTGCCCTGGGTGTGCAGGCTTCATTCAAAGTCTCTAGAAATAACAAATGGTAGAGAGAGAGGAGGGAGGGGAGGCACGATGAGAGAAGAGAACTTGCCCTACAACCAGAGTGGAGAGGAGGGGTCTTTAGTCAAGGCCCGCTATTCGCATATTTAATAATGTTCTCTTGTTGGCTTCTCCAAAGGAACTTTATCACTGGAAGTTATAACACTAAGCAGTAGCTATCAAGGGGCTAGAATTTGACAAGACAACCTGGCATACTAAAAGGTGTGTACAGACAAGTTATAAACTGAGGTTAAAAACATGTCACTCAGATTTCCCCTGGAGTGTTTTCCTGCCCTTTAAGGTTGTATATAGATCAACGTGGCTAGAACTCTGTCCAGGGCCCGGGGCATCTCAGTGTCTGCCCGCCCCTGCCCTGCCAATTCCTACTGCACCTGGTCTCAGTTCAGTCCCAACCCAGTTCACAATGGAGAGATTGGCCTCTCTTGTCAGTTTTCACAAGAAATGCTAGCACACCAGGCTTACTGTGGTCTTTGCAGCCCTCGTATATATCGGAAGGATGTTCCTCTACACTTACTCCTCATCTGTGTCTCTCCCAGCAGGCTGACTAACGCTCCCTCAGGCCTCCTGGACATCTACTTAATACAAATATCTCCGTCTCACAGATTATTGTAAGGGCAGCAGGGTGTCCTGGCTTAATTTAGACTGAGAATTAGAGTTTGGCTATTCGTTGAGCTTCTTAGAAGGGTGTATGAGCCTGCAAAAATCTTTGATTTTGGAGGTCAGAAAGGGGGTTATATCAGGGATCTCTTGTCATAATAATAAACAGAAAACCCTGTAGCTTCAAATGACACAGACTTTACTTGATTTACAAGTCTGTGGTTTAGCTGAGCGGTTCTTCTGGTCTTTCTGGCCTCGCTCATGCAAAAGCAGGTCATCTATACAGCTCCACTGATTATGGCTGAGCTTGGCAGGGCACCAGTTCTGGCCTATGTTGGGCAAGTGGCTGATTATGGATTGTGCAGTTTTTCATCAGCCAAGAGTCTAACCTAGGCTGTTCTCAGAGCATGGCAGAGGCGCCAAGAGAGCAAGTGGGACTCAGGCTTGGAACTATCACTTTAGCCACATTCAACTGACCAAAGCAAGTTAATCACAGGCCAGCTTGAGATTCAAGGCAGTGGGGACATTCCACTCCTTAATGGGAGGAGCTCTATGTCTTATTGCAAAGGGCATAGATACACAATGGGGCAGAGAACTGGGACCAGTTTTACATTTACAATGGTCAGTCAATATTTGTTATTGAGTGATTATAGAGATAAAAGAGAAAAAACACTGGAGAGAGTGGCTGATATATATTATCCTCCTCCTTTCCCTTGGAACTGCAGCAAGATTGAGGTTATGGAGAAAAATAATAGGAGTTAAATTCACGAGAGGGTCTAGGTACAGGTTTGGAGATAGGGTTGTTCTCCCCTCTGGCCCCATATCCCATCTACACTGCCAAAGAACATAGCAAATCACACATCCCTAGAGGGGGAAGGCAGGGAAGGAGGAAGTAGCAGAGCAGATTTTCTAAGGTGTCTCCAGCACCCGAGACTGTGGCTAGCAAGGGCACTTTGGCAAGGAGGCCAGAGCAGGCCAACTTGAGTAAATTTGTCCTTGTCCATGTGAGAACACCCTGAGCCCCATGACTTCCAGAAATGGTCCAGAGAACCTGGGAGGAGGAAGCTGAGTTCCTATATGAGCAAGAGGGGAAAGAACCTTGTATTTTTGGAATTAATATTAATATTGCTTTATTTGTATCTATAGGCTGATGAGAACTATATATAGTGAAGCACCTCAAAGAAGGTATACTACACTTATTTTCTAAAAAATTTGATGTCCACAGCATCCTTTTGAGTTCTCTGTCCTCGGGTTTGTCTTTGGCTATATGTTTTTGGCCTACACCCATTCTATTTTTTTCCCAGCCCAGGCTTGGAGCCTGAGTTACTGTTTACCTCTCAGATCCCAATTTCCTGGCTTCCTCTCCCAATCTTTGCTCAGCATTCGCCTTCCTGGCATGGCCTCTCTGCAGAAAGAAAACCTGCAATGGACTCCCTGGGGTCTGGCCTGGAAGCCACTGAGTGGCACCCCACTTGCCTTATTTTAGCCTCCAAGTGAGTCAACAACATGAGTACTCATTTGTTAAATGCTTATAAGCAGACGTTGGATATCAGTAAGTTAGTAAGAAACAGGAGCTTAAATGTAACACAGGTTAAGGGCAGTTCAAAACTTGTCTTGGAAATTTCTTTAGTAAATAAAGAATGTGAAGAATTGGAAACAGCACAAACATCCATCCATAGAGATCTAGTTAAATACCTTACGGTAATACTGACTCACATTTAGAGGACGTACCATCTGCCAGGTGCTGTTCTAAGTTCTTTACAAATATTAATTTATTTAATCATTATAGTAATCACTTGAGGTAGATATGTATTATTTTGACCCTTGTAATACACATAGAAAAACTGAGGCACAGGGTGGTTAAGAGACTTAGCTAAGGTTACATGGTTAATAGTGGCATAGTTGGGATTCATCTGACTCCAATGCTTCCATGTTTAATTACTGTTCTACAATGCCACTCAATCTGGACAATGGGATACAAAATGTCCAGAAAATGAGGATAGAGTATGAAACAAGCGTTTAGTTATATGTACTTACTTAAAAACAGGTTGCAAAAGAATGATTCCAGTTTGGTGCACAAATAAGGAAAAAGAGATCTAGACATATATGTACTAGACAGACAACAGTATATCTCTGAAAGTTGGGATTATGGAGGACTCATTTTCTAGGCCATACATTTTCATAAGATTTTAATATTTGGAAAAAAAAAAAAAACGTGCATTGCTTTAGAAACCAAATAAGGTAAAAAAAATTGTAAAAGAATAACAATGATTCTAATTTTAATTTTTAAAAAGGAAGCACTGATAAGTAAATAGTGACAACAGGTCTTGTTCATATCTCCAAGATTCTGTACAATGCTGTTCCTTCTACCTGGAAGTCCTTCTGCCTTTATGTTGGCCTAGCTGACTTTTATTTATCTCCAATAGCCAGCTTGTGTCCTTTTCCCCAGACACAGTAAGTACACTCTTACTTTTGCACCACTGCTATCCTTCATACACACCTCTCTTGATTCATTTATCCTATTATATTGAGATTATTTGTTTAATGATTTGCATCCAACACTACTCAGTGAGCTCCTTATAGCAAAGTACCTGGAGCAAAGTAAATGTTCAATAAATAATTGTTTTTATTTGATTACATTTGATACTACTGAGAAAGGGACCCCATTAGCTAATTCATCTCCATTGACAAGACAGGGAATGTTGCTTATGGATAGGCCTATTATCCTCAGCTCTCAGGAAGCAGAGTTCATAACATTGAGAGCAAAGATAAGTGTGATCTTCTGGGCAGGAACTCTAAAATGGGAAACGGCTCAAATACACTTGGGAGTCTCTGACACTCTGATTAAAAATGGCCTTGACAAGCAGGAAACTGAGAAGGAATCAGAAGAATCCCAAAGGACCACTTAGAGAACTTTCTTGGAGATTTGTTGTTTAAAATGATATAAACAGATGAGGTAAAGAGTCTTGAGACCACAGATAAAATGGAAGAGTAGCCTGATACTAAGAATAAATTTTGAGAAGGCCAGAGACTAAAATGACCAAGTTCTGGAAAGTTTGCCAAAAACATCTAAGAGAAATTTTCACTGTATCCAAAGCAAGAAGAATGTAAAGGGACAGCACCTGGGCTTGGGCAACTGGCTGGTGTTCCAGTGACAATGTGAGCTGGAGGGCTTGGCCAGGCTTCTGGGTTCCAGGGGTGAGTGGGTCAGGCAGAGTGGCTGGCTTTTAGGGCACCACATCTTTCAAAGCACTTTCCTTCCAGGACCAGCTGCAACATGGGAGATTCATC